CTCCAAGGAGTGAAGGCCAGGAAGTAAGAGCTGGAAAGTAGGCATGCATGTGTGGGCTTTGCCAATGGACTACCTAGAACAAAATTATCTAGAAGTTAAACATGAAAATGTCACAAAATTCTGCACGAGATGTAGTGATTAGCATCTGTTTAAAGTGATGGAAAAGGATCACAGCAACATAATATGTGCAATTACAGATCTGCTAGCAGAAAGCTACAGAGATAATAATCAACAGGAGTGCAGCACTAGCAAATGATAACACTGTGTCGTTATTAGATAAATTCCAAATTATAGCAAAAGCATTTATCTGAATTAAACAGGCAGACAAAGATTCTGAACAGGAAAGAATGGTCTTTAGAACATTGCACAACAGAGTCAGAAATATTTATCAAAATATTTATCTTTATAAGGAGAATTCTTGCAACAAAGTCGCTCTTGCTCATTTTGTCAAACAATGGCTTGCCTTTAGCTACACACAGCAATTTACAACTATATAGCCCCCCTCTATACAATCATGGAAAAGACCTTTAAGATCATCAAGTCCAACCTGAAGGAGCTTGTATGTGGGACACCACAGTAAGCATGTTTAAAGTGAGCACCTTTCCTACATCAGACCAAGTTTCCACAAATATCTATAAAGAAAATTTTAAAATAGACTTTGAAACAGCTTCTTACATAAAACATTCAATTAGGTAAAACTCCCTTAGCAGAATCTGCAGTATTTGCGTACAAGAGGAAGGATACCTTTACATTCAAAGAGCAGGAGACAAGTGTTATATGTACATGACTTTGGGCAAAAGATATTTTACCTTGTTGTACCTGAATTTCCACATCTCAAATTGAGATGATGCAATTTAGCAGGTAGAGGCCTTGTGAAGCTAAATTCACTAGTGTCAGAAAAATCATTGTTTCCCTCTAAGCAAACATGAGTTATTCTTAATGTATATAATACTTGAAAAATACATTCAGTCTATCCCCTAAAATTATAGTTAGGAAAAGAGTAATCTCCAGAATCCTTCTGTGGACATCATGTCTACAAGACTTAGTCTACATTTTGGGTGTTTTACTTATTTAGATAAATGTTCTGCAGAACCTGCACATTCCCAGGATTTGGTGTTCATCCCAGGTAGTAATGACTTTTTCCTGTCACGATTACACTTTATTTCTTACCCCAGGCATAATAATCTTCTCTATATCTCCAAAGATGTTGTCCCAGGTGTCTGGGTCCATTGGGGCAGAATCTGGCAACTGGGCTCTCATGTAACCTGGCTGTACATCAGGAGTCACCCGTCTCTCTCTCACATTGCTCAGGTACTGGCAAATGTAATCCACCATCTCTTTACCTGGAAGAGGCAACCCAGTGCTTTGAGTTTCGATTGCAGGAAAACTGACTAGCAGTACTAGCGCTTCATGCAATCTATCATTAGCATTGGACAAGGCTTGGAATACTGTTCCCAGGATAGCCTTCCTACACCTTACTTGTGCCATCTAATAGTAATGTAGGGACATGGCTTCTAGAACAGCGTCATGGGGACAGAACAGATTCACAGGGTTATTTCAGTGTTGTCATTGAATAGTTCAAACGTACCTTTAAAATACAATCACGATAAAAGTAGAGCTTGTTTGATTATTGAGAGACAGATTTTCTTGCCTACAAATTAACTGAAACTGCATTTCATAAAGTTTTCATAACGCCCCAATGCTTCCCTGCTGTTATCGCATACCCCCAGCTGCACGGCTACACACCTTTTCTTCACTTTTTAGACAATCACCTCCAGTCCTGAGACCAAAGTTTGCTCCCCATCTCCAGAAATGTGCAAGTATCACTGAAGTTTCATGGTGTCAGCTAGGGAAGAACCACTGTGCATAACCCCTTACTAGAAGTTTATTCAGAATCACAGCTTTGCAGCTTTTCTACGGTATTTTAAGTGTAAGACCCAAAAGCCTAAGTCATCCACTGACTCTAAACCCACTAAACTCATCCCTGAGACACATTTTGTTCCTCAGCCTCAGCAGATGTGTCAAAGACGTGTGCAAATAAAGAGTATATAGCCCATCCTTATTCTGGGTACCACTCCCAGCCCTGCAACAGTTGTCCATGAGCAAATGCTACCTATTTCCAAGAGCAAAGAATCACTCACCTCTCCGTCTGTACTCCTCAGGCTCCATACCAATTCCTTCTAAAAGCACCTCTTCAAACCTGGGCCACAACTTTGTGGGAGCTGTGGGCAGTTTGGTCTGGTGCCCTGCTACTGCTTCACCCTTTATAGCTCCCTTTATCTCTCAGACTCACGCATTCTGGAAAAGGTTTAACGTAGGCAGGTTATTGGTGAGTGTTTATCTAACTCCTCCCAATCAAGGGCTTTTACAGTCTCTCATATGTTCTCATCTGTGCTCTTTTGATGTGTTAGTGTATCTGTAAGAAGAGCTGTCTCTGCACTATCCCTTTCCCATTTTCAAACAATCTTTCAGAAGTCTCCCAGTAATCCGTATCATGAATATAACACACATTAACATCAGAATTGTAGGAGAGAAAAAGCTCAAGAGCTTCCAAAACCAAATAAAAGCAGCCATGTTACTCTAGCACACCTAGCAGTAGTCATTAAAACAAGGCATCAGCAGGTAACAAATTTGACACTGCAGGTGGGGACTATTTTTTCGTTTCCCCCCTTCCCCCCCCCCTTTTTTTTTTAATTATAGGACTAAGTTTTCCCAAGACAGTATACCTGCATCCCACAAGTCCTCAGTCCCTATGCTGTTAGTTCCTTGCTGCTAGGAGAGGCATTACAATTATTACCAGTTCCAGAACAGCAATATAAAGCAATGATCATCTTTGTGGATTTCCTCCACTGAATTCACCTGATTGCTGAGCTGGGAAAACAAATCTTCACCCCCTCCTCCTGTGCTTGCTTTTCTCACATATGATATGCATAAGCACTGGGATTTGGCCTTCTATCTCCAGAATTCCTCCAAGTTCTCCACCTGGATTGTTCTCAGTTTGGAAGAACATCCTTGTAGATTCCCCCTTGTTCCATCATCAGGACCTGAAAACACATCCTGACCTATCTTTGGCAGCACGACCTTTGACACTGTACTCAATGTTGAGCACTTATCTTGACCAGAGGGAACTCACTTGCTCGACACTGATACCAGGCAGCCCTGCAAAAAGAGAGAGGTAGGACTTACGGACTAAGCATCATAAGGTGAAGTTATTACATAGTACAATATGTGGTTGCCTAATTTCTGCTATACCCTAGGCTCCTGCTTAGGGCTGGCCCTGTTGGAGACGGGATACCAGGCTAGGCAGACCCTTTGCCTGATACATGACAGCAGTTTCTCTGCTCTCATCATACAAGAGAGAGCTGGCTATCAGAGCAGCTTTGATTTTCTGCCTTGTGGACTATAACGCAGCCTAAATACCTTCATTATTCTAGAAAGTTGTTATGTCTTTCTCCACATCGTACTTTCCACAGAACAGCGTGGAAACCTTTCCTAGTTTCTGCTGCGATTAGATATTTGAGAAAGAACTATTTCATAGATATGACAAAGATGCTCCGATACACGCACATCAGATTAATATACTGAAATAAAACTTTTAAAAAAGATAAAAAAGGCATTGAAAGAAGTGCAGAAAAACCCCATACTATATGCATATTCATCTGCTTTATCTCACATTTCTCTGGAAACATTAGGGAAAAAAGTAACAAGCTGCCCACACACTTAGTAAATTTATGAACATCTCTTGGCTTTACTGTCAATGTTACCACAAAGGGGAACAAAGAAGGTGAGAAGGGACTGATATCAAGCACAGGACCAACTCAAAAAGACCTCAGAGTTCTTAAAAACTGTGATTCTAGTTCATTACAAGTAACTAATACATTATTTTAATATACGGACGTCTGTTCAAAGAAAGCTGGTAGCTAATTGCATTTATGATTTCAATTTGGAACAGCAAATAAGGAGCAATACTTTTAACAATGTTTTCAGAGCTAAACTACACAATAAATATTCCATGTGACATATACCCTGCACCTTTGCTCAAAGCTGATAGTTTCATCAGGTTGGTTTCTTGTTCTGTGCGGAAGAGAACAAACAGCAGGTCCTGTTCAGAACTAGAATAAATTACAGGTAGGGTAAATATTGCTGGTGATAAATAAATTTTTGTATAGCTACCGTGCACTTGGAAAGATTTTGTTACAGACAACAGGGAATAGAATATTTGCTCACAGGAAGCAGAATGAATAGAAAAGGTTCTTTTCATTGTTTGCTACAAAAGGTCTGTGCCGTCAAAACCGTGGGAAATTCTCCATTTGGACATGAACATTACCACTATCACTACTCAGACTAACGCTGAAATTCTTATCGTTATTAAGAGTTCACAGAGATTAAACAGCAGTTAAGGCTGTGGGATGTGAGGACACAAACATTATTTTGATCACAGAGTAATTCAGTTGGAGCAATGCCTAACTAGCACATTTAACTTGACTAACTGGTTCCTGCATTTGCTAGTGACATAATGGATAGTTTCTGAAACAAACAACGCCCCCCCAAAACAACCTCCTAAAATATAGCAATTTCCAGTTAGTCACTGCACAAGACTTGCTTCAAGTCCTAGTACCAGCTGAACATGATTATATCCTTGAAAATAGTTCTTCTAAAAACCATCACCCCAGATTTTCCATTTTTACTATATTTTGATTATTTTGGGGTCAAATTTGCCAACCGGGATCAAATTTGCCAAAGTTATACCAATACTAAGATATGTAGGATTTCTTCCTAATTGCCAATTCTATAAACTCAAATCAAAGTTTAAAGAAGGAAGATTTTACTTCATATTGTATAATGCAATTCTTTCCCCACTCCTCCCTCCTATCTTTGAAGGCCATTCTAAGCCTACAATTGTTTTTTCGTATTTTTCTGAATGCCTAACACAGCACAGCTTTGACCTTCTAACGTGCATACACAAACCAATTGAAATTGAATTGATTCTACACTATATATATGTGTAAAAGATATTTAATTGTAAAATAGAAAAAGTAGGCCAGAGTACAGTTTTAAGGGTAATTCTTCTGTGTACAGTATAGGTAAACTAGACTTTTTGCTTAAGTTTATACAAACAATTCCATAAAAGCAGTGAAACATGGAACAACAAAGCAAAGCACAAAGAGTTTTATCTTACAAAAAAGGAATCTGCACAGTAGTTCAAAATTTAATGTTAACACAGCACTGAATAATCTTAAGGCAGCTCAGTCTAAGCACAGGACTAAAAAGCCAGGAACTCCCGAGATCTAGTCCCAGGTCTACCACAGATTAATGTGGTCTTGGGCCAGTCATTTAACATTCCCTGTGTTGCGCTTATACCAGTTATAAAATTGAGACAGTAACACTCACTTACCTGCCTCAGGCAGTACAGTAAGGGTTCTTTAAAAGATTTTACAATGCTCTGAAGATGTAACGTGCTATATAAATCCTAAGCATAATAGATCACTGCACAGACACACACAAACACAGTATCACAGTGAAGAACAATGATGCTAGTTAAAAGCAGCATCACCACAACATAAAAAATTTACTTGTCCAATTGCATAATTAAAATGCAAAAGTCTGTTTAGAAAAAAATGCATCACTGAAATAATTTCAAGGCTATTGGGAAAAGAGATCAATAGTAACATTCTAAAAGAACTACTGTTTGTGTTCCAGTGGAGACATTCTTTTCTATTCATTACTGAACTTTAAAATGTTTGTAAGACACACAAAGTGAAGTTTCAATGCCTCCACTACCAAATTTTAAATTGCCTCTAATATGTAAATTAAGTTGGGGTTTTTTTTGTTCTTTTTAATTACAAATTACATTCTTCCAGGAAATATACCATCCACAATAAAACTGGCTGCTAGCTTACTTCAAATGACCTATAGGCTAAACATTTTTCTCATAGTTTTTCTCATCTTTGCTGAAAAATACCTATGCAAGATGTATGTGTAGAAATTATAAAAACATGCAGCATATGTACAAACTGAAAAGTTTAAAAAATATTAGCTTCATATACATGTAAATCTACTTGGATATATCTGAAATTAAATATAAAAATTTCACCGCCTAAAATAAAAAAAACCCCAAAAATGGTTTTCAGAGAATCTGAGACAACTCCTTAAAGCTGTACAAAGATTTCCACCTGGAAATGTCTTATTCAGAGAAGTTTAAGTTGTTACCATGTAGAAATAACTGTTAATTCATTTCATCACATAATTAATTTTCAAGTCGTCAGCTTAAATCAACAACATCACCCTTAAAACTGTTCTGTTTTTCAGAAGTTAGATTCATACTAAAATCAAAAATTTCACAAAAAACATTGGCTTCTCGTGTTTCTGGATCCCTTCAAAAAGATTTATCAACTCATTTTGAAACTGTAAAAAAAACAACTATTTACAGTATTTCATTTTAAATACTTTTCACAATTTCTAAATTCAGAGTTTTTATGTTACAAGAAATTCATCAGAGCTCACGGCTTAAGTCCAGTTATCAACTTGTAGCATCTTCTCTATCATGTAATCCTGTGTGTGTACCTATATAGCGTACAGTTCAAGATTGTACTGCAGGTTTTTGGGAGTAACAGGCTTTGCAGTACGTTCATTTTTTATTAAACAGCTTCTTTATTAGTCTGGAGGCGGTTCATTGCCTCTAACTTCTGCCGATAGGCCTCTGCTTCTTGTTCTTTCTTTAGAAGCTGCTGGCGATATTTTTGTGCTTCTCTGTTTGCCTCATCCAGCTGTTTCTGAAGAGTTTCTCTTTCCTATTAGAAACAGAACCAGCAACATTTTGTCAAATATGTATCAAATACAAGTTAAAATGGCAAATACTTTTCCTTTACATGCAGCTGAAGTGTTAAGGTATCATCTAGAAACTGTTCAGTTCTTACTTGGGCAAACCTATATGAATGCTGCTGCATAAGTTAGACATGAACTATCACACCAGACAACTCCCCACAATAAGACTTGAAGTCCAAATATAGTAATTTCTTTAGCTGCAAAGATACAAGGCAAGTCTTCCTGGAAAAAGAGTGAAATAAAAAAGTGGAAGCGTGGTGATCAAATAGTAACATAATGTGTTAACATTTCTCCAATGATTCAATGCCCTTTGTTACTTTTTTAAAATTGGAATCCAACCTAACAGGACTGTCCCTTTCTGTTGTCTTTCTAATCAGATAATGAAAATCTGTTACCTAACAGCAGTTTGCACTGGGAAGTGACAGCTGCTCACTAACCCAAATATACACATAACTGGTTTTTGAATGATCTGAAGTGATTGATACTATGCAATCCAGAGGTACAATTATACCCTCAAGGACACCACATTTTTATGAACTAACAGGTATGTAACTAAATAAGCTTTTTTCAATTCAAAAGGAGTAACTGAAGGCTCCATCCTGCATACAAGTTTGTTTGGGGAGGCTATAAAATGGTTTCCAAGCAAAATAATATGGGAAAGGCCACTTCTTATGAAGCTGCCTTAGGAACTAAGGAGAATGTATTTCTGTCTCTGGTGACGTAGGTACTGTCATTTTGTTTGATGCTGAGCTGAGCCCAATTGAAAAAGCAATTTGCTTGGAAAAGAGTTTTGTTTTGATCTTCAACCAAATACCATTTCATTAAAGTGCATCATACTTTTATGAGTAAGGTAGTATTTGATTTCAAATCATTCTTTGCATTGTAGTTGTTAAGTAGCCACGGGAAGGAGGTTGTCAGAGAAGTGAGCCATCTCCCAGAAAAACAAAACTCTTGTCAAAGACTGAGGCCCAGGGAAAACAAGTTGCCTTTTAATCTTATTCCCATCCCAGCAGTTCAGTATTGCATTCCCATTTAATACCTCACACAGTTGTTAGAAGTTTCTCCCCCCACACCCCCATAACAACAACAACCCTATTCTTCACCTCTTTGATGCGCTTACGTATTTTCATGGTCAGAACCTGAAAATACAAAATACTCTGCCTCCCTTCTACTTGCTACTGTTCTCAGTACTTGTCACAGTCACATTTAGCAGTCACATGCTGTGCTGAATGTGCTGGAATATAACGACATAGGTGATCAGATCATTGCTAACAGCAGCATCTGTATAGCAAAAACAACAGGTGAAGGAGAGATGTTATTAACAAGTTACAAAGACTTGATATAATACAGCACAATCAACTCCAGAAAGCACAACGTGATTTTACATAGGTCTTTAAGAGCTGAAGGAAGCTAGCTAGGGTTTGCTTCATCTGGAGCATATGCTGATAAAAATGAGAGCTCATCTGATATTCCTTACTCATTTGAAAAGGAAGTTCAGCTTCCACCTCTGAAAATTTGGATTCTGCTTTTTAAGCAATTTTATAAATGGCCAACCCATGTAGCAACTAGATTGATGAATGCCAAAGTAGCAGTAGAGCCTACACCTCAAAGGATCTGAAACACACCAAGGATGTTCCAGCACCAGGCCAAACAAAACATACTGCTATTTCTCTAAGTTTTCTGTGAAGTTTAAGGGGAGCCAATAGCTTACACAAAACAGCCTCAAGGAGTAGAAAGTTGGTGAAAGAGCTACAAGAGTGTTCTCAGGGAAACAGTCTAAACAGTTGAGTCTGCTACATGTGGAAAGCAACCCTTCCCTCTTGAGGGCACTGAGCTCTGGGATAGATAATGCCCAGCTCAGTATATCTCATGAATTTGTCACATAAACCCCATCAGAAATCTACTACTGGCAAGAAGCAAAGCTGCACTATCCACTGGGCTGCAGAAGAGTAAGAACCACCAGTAGCTCACTGGACAGTGGTTCTGCGCTGGATTACCAAAAGCAAGGCGCTATCACTACTACAGAGCGTGCGCAGACTGCAAACACTTCGGGGTGGGCAGGGTCTCAGACCACATCTTAGGAGTATTTCCCATAGAAAAGAGCAATAGAGCCATGTACCCATAAGGAGCATAGCACATTAAAGAAGGGATAGAAAAAAAAGGAAAAAACCCCAAGTCTCAGTGGCAGAGACAAGAAGATAAAACCAGTATCTACCAGACAGACTAACAATTCAAAGCATGTATATTAGTCCAGCAACTAATAGGTGTAGTTTTTAGACAGTCATAGTCCTAATGTAAACAGAATGAGTTAGGGAGCTAAGGCCAAGTATACTGTCTAACCAGCCAGTGGAAAGAAACCAATGCTTCTGGAGAAGCAATGCAGATCTACAGTGGACCGAACAGTTCCTTAACTTTATTGGTTCCTTAACTTTGACATCTACAATAAGGAGGACTTTATCTGGTCTATTAATTTAATCAAATCCAGCAAGTGTTCTTAGGGCATTCTTTAGAACACAACTGAAAGTCCTTTTGTATCAGTATAAAAACCTATCCAGGTAAAAGTGCTCTTAAGAAATCTTCCATTTTATCAGGAAATTTTCTTCATTACATGGAACTTTTCTTAACAGTCTATATATTGACAACAGGGACATCCATAACTAAAATAACAAAGCCAAGCATTCTTTTTAACAACAGAAAAACTAGGGATATGAATTCACCTATATAATTAATTTACAACTAAGATTTTTTTTTTTCCCCAGTCTAATGAAATGATTGTCCTGGTTCTAATGCATGTCACTTTTCAAACATACAACATGGGAAAAACAGTCAAAATCAAGAATGAATATTAAAATCACTGTATGTTAATGAATTATGCATGAAAATGACAGAGGAACTGTGTGACAGGTTTTTTTTGCTGCCCTCCTATGTTTAAAATATCAAACTGTTTAGGAAAACTGCTATCACTCTTCAAAATAAGCTGAAATGTTTGAACTTAACAGACCCAAAAGAGAAAAATAAGAAAACCACCACTACAGCTTTAGTCATTCACAAGACTTTCAGTGGAAAGTTTGTCACCTCATGTGAATGGGAGGATGTTCAGCCTTCCGAACTACAGTTAACTGTTCATACACTATGAATTTAAAACAGCTGAAGAAAGCACTCTTAGCCTTGAATCAACTCTTTATAATGAAATAAAGGAATGAATCACCAGTGAGGCAAAGAAACCAACTGTACATGCACTTCTTTAACGTTCCTGTTACCAAATTGAGGTAGCACTATACCCTTGTGAACCACAATAAGGCTCCTGAGGTCAAGTGGCCTCCACACAGAGGCAGAGGTCTGCATGTGCATTTCCAGTTGTACAGGCAGGGACAGAGTCAGACATCAAAGCTTGCACTTAAAAGTAAAAGATGAAGTTAACTCATTTAAACCAACTTCTTTTGATATTTGAGAAATGTGTTTAATATATATAATTGAAACTGGTAATCCCCTTAAAAGAATTATTTGTACTGTTACACCAACTATCTGTAATTAGGAACAGGTCAATTTATTCCTTAACCAATCTAATTTTTTTTCCTTCACCTAGCAGAATCATAAAAATACTTAAGGAAACATAATTTCCTTTAGGAATAATTCAGGCAGATGTTTAAAAGTGTGAACAAAAGAAATGCTTTTATTGTAACAGTCATACATTAAAAAAATGCAGCAAGAAAATTTCAACTGTCATGATATTCTGTAATGACCACAAAGCTGCAAAGGCCAAAAGTATTTGATGTGACAACTTAGGGACAGGGAAAGCAAGTGATGAAATGTGGTAATTATTGTTATTAGACATGGATAACATATAGCACATACTGTACAATAAAAAGTATTCAATTAGGCACAATTTGATAATATGAACAGAAGATGGAGAATACAACCTTTGATAAATGAAATATCATGGAGTTGACAAAATGAGAACTTACAGCCTAGTCAAGGCAGACAGCAATTTTCATAAACTTTTGGCCAAAACTGGTCAGCACAGAAGTAACAGAAAGAATGAGATGGTTGACCTATTGTGGTGAATATAAAAAAGCTACAACTTTAAATTGAACAGCTACATCTATTTGTCATATATAAAAAGAAAAGCTCTCTCAATGTTGTTAGGTCTTCTGCACTGTAATTTAAAAAAAAAAAAAAAAACCACCAACAAACCCCCCCCCCACACACACAACAGGATGGTGCAAAGATGTGTAATAGTAAACTGCTCCAGAATTTAAAAAAAAGAGAAAAAAAAAGAAAAGAAAAAAGGACAGATAAAAATTGACAAACACAGAATCTTACTGTTTCACATTTCCATTAACAGTTATCTAGATATCATGAATGGAAAGGAAACATTGCTAAAAGTATGATCTCACAATCAGGACAAGCACGTGGTCATAACAGAAAGATGAGGGTACAGTACTCTCATTCACTGCTAGCAGAAAAAGTCAAGTTACTTGATAATATATCAGTACCTAGTTTTAAAAACCAGCTAGTGATCTTAAAGGTAAAACTTATTATATACTTAAACAAGTGTCACTTTTATGTGCATGACCAGAGGATGAAGCAAACAGCCCTCCCATATTCTTTTTACAACAACTTTGTAAAAGATGAATTCCAGTAACAGGGGAGACTGAACAAGTTATTGTTTCACACACTTCATTCTGTGGTAACACAGAAATTAAACTCTAGGACAACACAAAAAACCACAACCAGATACTCAGTGCTGAACACTCTGGTTAACACATATCATGTAATATACTCCTTACTTCTATTTCTGCAGACTCCACACGATTTTCAACAATCTCAATGCACTGTCTCTTCACTGGCGGTTCTTCGCTTATCACAGTTTCTTCAGCGATGTCTGTTGCTGGAACTGTTAATACTGAAAACATATTTGTACATATAAATAAATTTACTTCAAACAATATTTGCACTATATAAAATTCAGATAATTAAGTAATTTCATTAACGGTAATAAAATGCAAAGACTTCTCCTTATGCAAACACAACAAAGTGCATTATAAAGCCAGTACAGTGCAAATTTAATAAAAACTTTAGCTGCTTGTATGTTACTAAAGAATTTTAAAATTCTTTGTTGCTGGGGTCTACAATAGTTAGCTGTCACTCTGGAGTATCATTGCCATTTTTCACAGAGTAAATAGACACAGAAGTGAATTGCAGCAGAGTTACCAGTCTGTCAATTCTGTAACTTATGTAGCAGACCATCTCCTTCATAGTGTTTCTTAAGCAAATACTAAATACAAAACTGGCTTTTATTTTGATTAATTAGAACACCTTAGGTAATCTGAAAATCCAGTAATTATTAACCTTGGAGGAAAAAAAATCAAGGATCTAAAGAAATTCATACTCTAATTTATTCACGCAACCATCTGGCAAATAAATGTTGTAACTGGCACTTCAATTACTACCTACAGACATTCATGCTTTCTGATTAACTAGCTATACTTGTTCAGACAGACAGTGAACCAAATCATTTGTCTCCAGTGTACAACTCTTCAAGCTTCACACTGGGAGTCCTCATGGAGAAACCAGAGAGGGAATTATTTTTGTCTAAATAGTAGTGGCAGAGCATCTTTAAAAGAACACCCAAAACCACACACATCACAAAATAGCACTCATTACACTAGCAGCTTCTACAAAGCACGTATGGCCCAACAGGACAATTTGTGCCACCCTGGCTTCACTAATTCTGCCACTGCTCCCCGAAAACCTCAAGTACGTAAGACTTGGCTTTTGTTTTGTTCAGAACACACTCCATGGGACTTTCATAGTTTGACTCGTGCATCAGATTTCTAAATCCAAGCTTCACCTCCCCACAATATTTCCAGCAAGGCAACAGCATAAGTATTGGAAGAAGGCTTTTGTTTTACTCCATCTAGTTTTCACAACAAGTTTGCAATAATCAAGCTTATTAAAGGCAAGGCAAGTAGCTATCACTTTTCCCTTAAATGGCCCATTTCTATTCCATACAGTTTAGTAATTCTTCCATTCTTTTTCCTCAGCTGACACATGAACTGCAGTAGCTCATGTGTCTGACCCTTCTGCAGCATAAGAATTCAAAGATGTATTTAAATTGACAATTACACAGAGTTGTCCAAGGTATTTGCACCTAACAATTTATTATTATTACTGTAACTAAAATAGTTCCTCAAGCTCAAACTGTACACGTTTCCACTCACCTTGCTGTCCATCTGGCATGGTCACAATGATTGGTTGCCCTATTCCACTGGTTGGAATTGAATGCAGATTACCAAGCTGAATGCCATCTGTAACTATAGTAATAACTTGCTGACCTCCAGAACTGACAACTTGCTGAATAGCACCATCCACAGATTCTGCAGTCACCACCTCTTCTGTGGCCACAACTATCAACAGATTAGTAAAGGAATTAAGTCAATTTGTAAATTAAGCTTTATGATTTCAAATGCATTTTAGTACAGCTGAGAAAATGAGAACTTACAGCCTAGCCTTTCTTCCATGTCTTTTAAAATTTGATCCCCCTCCAATTAATGCATTACTACATATTATATTGTTAAGAGAAATCTTTCACCAGGCCAACATAAAGCACTAACATTTTGAAACATACATGCAACTCTGTCCTTGTTTACTTTGCTCAATATAATAATTTTTTTTATTTAGCATGTTTCCTAATAGATACACTACACTCAAAACTGACACTTTGGGTTCAGTATTAACATGGCAGCAAGAACAAGAGTTGTTTTTAAGAACACAAATAACTTTTCCATTGTACGTAAGCTGGACTAAGTTATACTAACAGCAGAATAAATATTAAAAAAATTGTACTTGAAATACTAGCTTGAAATGACTCCTCAACCAGTGCTTTGCCAGGTGCACCTGAGGACCCAGCCTCAATTTCTCTGTTTACCATAATGGTCTTCAAGACAGTAAGAGACTAAAGGACTAAAGGACCTCTAGAGAATCTTAAAGTTTTGTCTGTACTACATGGGTACTTCAAACACAACCACAACTTAATTTATTCTACAAAGTATGAAACAGGACTAAAAGTTCTGCAGAGAGTTGACTTTTTTATACCTTTGAAGGAGAAAAGATAAAGCTTAAAAAGTAAAATAAACATTGCATGTGTATAATTTTATATCATTTCACTTTACATGAAAGTAAAAAAACCCATCAAATTCATGAATTGATGAGTATACAGCAGTGAACTCTCACAGTTCTATATTACATCTATAAATCAAAGTAAGATGAGAGAAAGACTACATTCCGAACTACAACACATACCACAGCTTGCACTATACACTGTAATTGGGGTCTCACACTACCACCCTTATTTTTTAAAACAAGATACTGAGACAAAGAGCAAGATCACTAGTAGCACAATCAAAGAATTTCAAGCACACTAACTCTGTATTTTATTCTCAATTTGTCAGGATAAAAGCAAAGCCTTTGATTTAAATAACAGATATTAGAGTGCTTTCTATCTACAGAGATGAAATTAAAACCCTATAGACTGTGTTGTGATGCTCAAGATGAGAGAAGGTAGATAAAACCCTGGAGCTTTCATCTTTTATATTAATTACAATATAACACACACACAAATGACTCTGTAGTTCAAATAATGACTGCAGTCATTGCCTTCTGAAGATCTTTATGTTCAGAGATTACTGTCCTATAGCACTACTTAAATATTCACAGACTGTTTATTCAGTAAACCAAAACAGTAAGTCCTACATGAATAAGTGGTGTTGTAATGAACTTGATTTGGCTTTCAAGTACAGGCTCAGCAGTAAGAAAGATCACTGTCACAAAAATTTCCAAGTTGTAAGTGCCAATACTAACTGCTGTGGCGAACAGCTCTGATCTTTCAGTTTCAAACTCAATGTTGGGCTTTTAGTTCTGGAAAGAAACATTATTAGGACTTCTGCAGACCTTGAAAGAAAAATGGAGATTTTGTCTAAAAAAGAAGTTATTCTATAAAAAAGAAAAAACATCTCCATGAATACAGTCCTTATTCCTTCCTGGCTCTCCTTCCGTATCCATATCCATATAATCACTAGTTACCACTCTACTTCATATGCCAAAGGAAAGCTGAAGTCATTTAAAAGAGCAGCACTATTATCTCTTATTTTCTTCTGCAGTGTGTGCAGGGGGAGAACACCTGCACGTGCAGTAAGACATATGCCTAATTCCAACATAAGCACACCAAATACCGCATTCCAAATACACAAATCAAATTTTTATCTAATCCGACTCTGAGTTCCATACATACATTATGCATCATATTTGTATGCAACGTCCATGTCTCCATAAACATTTCCTGTGAGTAACAACTAAAAAAAGCATGATTCTATGCAGCTCCAGGGAAAAGCACCTTTCTTTCTTTGATTTTACAAGATCGATATGTTTTTAACTGTAAGACATGAGGAACTAGGGGGAAGAGATCAGAGTGAAGTTAACTTGGAAAGAGGAGAAAAATCTAGACAGAAACAACATAAGAGGCAGAACCTAAGTGTTTTGTACAAGTTTATACAGTCTTAGATACAGGAGGCCAAATACAAGGTAAGAGTCAAAACCAGAATTCTCAATCCTATATTTTTTGAGATTATTTATAAATGGATCTTTTACAAGATGAGCACAAAGAGAAGGGGGAGGTTTGTTGTTGTTCTTAGGTGGTTTTTTTTTTGTTCTTGAACACACAAAACCAGCTTTTTGTCACCTGTGCATCAATAGTATTCTTTACACTTTATAAACTATTAAAGGAGTAAAAACCCAGGAAATAATTTGCAGACAGCAAGATGCTGCAAGATTGCCCACACATCTACATGAAAATCAAAGCAGAAGAACTGAAATAAACAGGAAGGTTAGGTATGATGCACACTGCATTATTGAAGGTGGGAAGCTACTGCATCAAGATTTCAAGCTGATTTCTTCCTGTCTGTCATCTCCTGCCTCTTCTCTAATAACTTTTATCTTCAGTAGTTTACTAACATGCAATGTAGATTACGCTGCACTGCTGCAAGGGTAGGACCGTGAAACACGAGAACACTTGGTTACCAGTGTCTACTACCAGGTTCTGGATACATATCTAATGCTCCGTAATCCCATGCAATCCCTTCTTGAGTTTCTCTCTCTTACAATTAGATCTGAGTTTCATTGAAATACATTAATTGATTGAAAACACCAGCAGCTTCTTCTATAATGAAAGGCACTGCATTCTGGTTTTGAATCATCTGCTTCACTTGCGATATTTAAATGTCATAAAATAGTATAACTGTACTTATGTACCGCTTTGAGGAGAAGTAGTAGAAGAAAAGAGCTGCATTAAGAAGAAACCCTGCAGGACTTCAAAATACTTAAGAGATGGAAACTCAGGTATATGTTAGGATGTAGCTCTCATGCCAGCAAGTCTGAGAGTACAGATCTCTTCTACATTTTCAGCAAAAACTGTCCCCTTAAGAATGACGTCATTTGCAAAGCTGAATTCTGTAAGAATTTTTAAGTACCAAAGGCTTTGGCCATGCAAGGTATCTCGGTTCCTTAAAATTTATCATACTGAGCATCACCAACAAGAAAGCAAAATAAATGCATTTCTTTAGAAATGTGTTCAGAAAAAAAAAACAGGTTACCATAAGCATCATAAATCCTTGAGCAACAGAGAGTTGTTGCTCTCCATTGTGATCTCCAGTCACTGCTTTAATGCTAGGCTCATCTTGCTACATATCACATCACTAATCAGTGCTCAAAATCCCAAGCTAATTTAGAAATAAGGCTATAGTGCTACATGTCAGCGTAATAAATACTAAATAAACAAAAAGCAATCTAGCCTAGCATAAAACTCCAGTAGCCTCTGCCATACCATACTGCCTGAGAAAACTGGGGAGCAACATACGAAAAACAGCACTGGGCAAGTAAAGAGTACGTGAAATACTTCACAGCTTTCTTTAGAAAGCCAGGTGTCCACCAAAACACCTCTTTGGACTCTCAAGAGTAACGGAAGTTTTTATTCAAGTACACCATATAGCCTACTTCAGAGACAGAAACTAGAGATTCTGTGTGTCAGCACCTGATCTCCTAAGAGCTAGTCTTACCTCATTTTTTATGCAATGGCAAGATATTAACATACACCGTAATAAAAACATATGTCTGGAACAGAAGTTCAGCGGCATCCTCTTATAAAGTAACTTTCAATAATTCAGAAGCTTTTGATCACATTTTAACTTTATTGTAGATGGTATTACAGCTTGCTTAAATTATAAAAGGATATCTTTTCCTGCTTATCTCTCTCTCAAATCTGTTAGTGGTGATAACTAGTCTTTATAATCCACTTTGATGCTATAAGACTCCTGACTGCCAGTTTTCTTGTCAATTTGCATGTTGTAATGAACAAAAGTCAAAGAGTACACAAAGCAGGCACCAAATTATTCAGAAAGAATGGAGAAAGATATCCAGGACAACTTGCAGAGTATGGAACCTTGACCAGAGGTTTTTTTCAGACAAGCAGTAACTGGCAAAGATCACGGGGCAAGGATGAAGGGGTTTTGTCTTAAAAAGAGGAATGCAAAACTTGGAAAATAGGGGCAATGGAACTCCTTGTGCCTTTCTGGCTTCTTGTCATAGCCTTATGGAATAAGAGAGTGTACAGATCACTGCAGCAAGGGATCCAGGCTACTTCCTCCCAGGAGGACAATAATGTACTGCTAGGCTTACGTTTACCGGAAGTGCCATGACAGCATACCAGCCTGAAGTGGGACATACTAATCACTATGTATTTTTATAAATGCAAGTAGAATGCCTCAAGGTTGAAAAGACAATCCACAGACATGGGAAAAGCGCACACTGAGATCACCAAATATTCTTGTGCTTTTGGGGTGAAAGAATAAAACTGCTGACAAAGTATATGTAAACAACATTGGGGGCCACTTCCTAATATTTAAAAGAAGGAAGCATTCAAAGAAAACATTCTCCAACCAGATGCAACTAGACTGTATGTAGACAAAGATGTAAATTCAATCTCCTGGATTATGCTTGCTTTCAGCAAGATGAATGCTACCCACATTAGAGTCAGAAAAAAAAAAATCAGTTGTGGTCAGAAATCTTACTAAGAAATAATTGTATATATGAACCTGGCAACCTTCCGGTGAAAGTAAAGGAAAAATTTTGTTCATGCTGAAAAAAGGAAGGAAGATTGTCATCTCATTTCTGTATGAACTGTTCTGTCCAAAAGTGCCAGCTATGTACTTTTAGTTTATTAAATGAGGTTAAATGACTTAGCTTTCCAACCTGGTGTTTCTGAAGAATTAGACAGTGGAGCTGATGCTTCTGCTAAAGCTGCCAATGTGGCCAATACTGACGTTGATGAATTTCCAAACTGTACTGCAGACACTCCTGTTTCATCTAGTAGGATGAAAAAAAAAAAAAAAGCTGATTAAATGTTAAACCAGTGAAGTCTCTTTTTCTATTATCATTGCACTGAAGCTTCTAACACACACTCTGTTCTCAGCAACATTCTGCTAAACCAAAGTGCGATTCTGAAGGCAAGTTTGTTAAGCAAATGCAACTTCTGATAATTTATCTCTATGAAGACTGTTGGTTTAGATATTTACAACACACAAAAAACACTGAAGAGGAACATGGTAACTATTCTTACCACTGTTTTTCCTCAAGCCTTTTCACTAATGGTGAAAAAATCAATTAAAGTATAAAATCCTAGTAGCTACCCTATAGGCATCTAAATACCTGTTCCATTTGATGTATTTGCAGAAGATACCAGACCTGTTAGGTTCACCACCCCTCCAGGTCCGATGATGAACTGTGGTGTTGCTGCATGTATTGTTACAGTGTCCGGACTCTCTGGATTCGTATTGATTTGGTTCTGCATTGCAATCTAGGATACAAAGGTAATAATATCATTCTAATTGTAGGTATAAGTTATTTATCTTGTAAGAAACAGAATTATTGCACATTCCACTCAAACAGGGAAGATCTCCCTCGTTATACTCATGCAATATATACACATCATGTCACATCTTGTACTCTGTGTAAGTACATGAGAAACAGTTTTTTCGCTGAAATCTAAAGACAGAAAGTCTGTTGAAGTGAAAGAGAATAATGACACAACACTACTCCTTACCATTTACTGTAAGCGAAGACGACCACATAAAGACAAGGCCCCTCTGTAGATGTGCAAACTCACGTATCTAAAATAGAGGCCTGAAGAATCAAGGCTGCTGTGGCAGCTACATGCCATGAAAATCAGCTCTGACAGCTTAGTAATCGCCATAAATTGTAGATGGCATTCTTCTTTTTGTCTTTCTCTGAATTATTATGGACTTTTATTTACTCTATCCTTTCTGCAATGAAGAGGAGGCTAACAGAACAGACCAGATGTTCATATAGTTCAAGATATAGCAGAACAATAGATTTATACAGTGGCATAATGATATTTTTCATTTGCTTTCTATTCTTTTCTCAATAATACCTAGCACTTCATTTCCTCTTAAAAACACTACTGAACAGTGAGCACACTTCCACTTTCCATGGAAGTATCTATTATAATCCCGATCTCAATCACTTCAATAATTCAATCCTAGTCTTTCTAATTCAGGAAAAATTGCCATCTCTTCTCTCCTCTCCTGATCTCCAATTGTTAGGAAACTAAAATCCATATATGAAGCTAATTGAATGCTAGGGTATAGTCAAAATTTCCTACTCTGCCAATATGTCACGTTTTACACCTTGCTTGCGAAGACTCCACCTAGTTCTGTGTACTACAGCACTCAAATTTAAGAAAATAAAGGATACTTATCCTTGACTTTGTAGGTGTGAAAATGCTCTTTGGCCAACTAATGTTTATTAACATTAATCTCATTTCCATGTTGTGAACTAGACTGGAGTTTAGCATTATCAGTCAATATATGGTCTCTCAGCTGCTGTATTAAAAGCTTAGTTTATCCCATGTGTAAACAAGTACTTTGCCATAAACTCCCTTAACATCATGAATCAAAAGTTACCTGTAATATTTCTGCAAGGTCTTCATTTCCATTGTCTACTGCAATATCTAATGCCGTTTTGCAAAATTTACTCTGAGCATGAACATCTGCTCCATACTTTATTAAGAGTTCTACAACTTCTTGGTGGTTATGTTCAGTAGCCCAGTGAAGTGCAGTCATTTTGAGCATGTCCTTCGCGTTGACATCAGCACCGTGCTACAAACAAGATCATTGCATAAACTATGTCATTAGAAGTATCTGAATTAAATAATGCTGGCCACAGAATGAAGCCCAAAATTGTCTTTTTCTAGCAGTAAGATCCTGTTATCTTACATTTACAAATGTATTAGAAGTACTTCAATGTAACTACCAATAAATTATTTGCGTCAAAGGATTAAAGACTCCCTAAAGTGTAACATGTCTTGGTTCTAAAGGCTGTTACTCACACAATGTCAAACTAGAAAGTAGTCTTATTTTGAAACAACAATAATTCAACTAAAATCATGATTATTTCAATGCTAAAATAAATTACCTTTTAATAGGAAAACAAAGCACCCAATGCATGCAGCATAAATATTCATGTAATTTCACTGTTGGTTTCATGACTAAAAGGAAATTGTGAATATTTTATCATAATCCATTGTAATATCCCCACCTCCGACCTTGTTTCAGGAGTCTTTACCTTAAGTAAGACTTCTACTATACTGGCATGGCCTTCTGATGCTGCCATATGCAATGGCGTTCTGTCCACTTTGGTTCTGGCATCCCGACTTACACCTGCTCGCAGCAACACTTCTGTTGTTGAGTAATGTCCATACTGCGCAGCTAGATGAAGTGGAGATGTTCCCAACTGTAATGTAATGGAAAAAGTGGAGTTTTAACAGATGTCACTATGAAGCATTTTTTCTTATTCTGGAGCTATCAAACTCAGTTGTCAGGCCACCACTTCAACACCATTTTCCCTTGCAGTCTCAAGGAAAGAAGCTGTCAGGGCTTTTATAGAGTACGAAGTTTGAAATTTTGTTTTCAATAATCCCAACACGCTACAAACAAGCAACTTTTTGAGGTCTGTGCTATGTTTTTTCTGTCTTTTTGAGGTGTGATGTTTCAAGGAGCCAACATGCCATACCAACATTGGAAGGGACCTCTGGAAGTCGTTTAAGTCCAATTTCCTGTTCAAAACATAGTCAACTTGAAAGTTAGGTCACTTTCAAGATTACAGCTCTTAAGGGCTTGTAAATACCCTAAAATTTTAGGTACCTGAACTCCCCATACAACCTATTCAAAAACAGGCACCTCCAAAAGACAACTCAGAGCCCTTATATCAGGGAACTCTCAGCTGCACATATCAGTTGGGACTGCTTTCTTAATTCAGACCTCTTACTGTATTAAATGCATAAACACAGTAACTAGGAGGATGATTGCTGCTTTCTCCCATCAACCACTCCAAAGTTCATATTAAAAGCCACCAGAACAAGCTCATTCACAGTCTGTTACTAAAATCAGTAGGAGATCATATGAAGAAATAGAAAATTTTAATTTTTCATTAGACATTAGATGACGTGATTGCAGAATTCCACAAAGAAACTCCCAAGGCTTGCAATATAAATGCTTAATTGTAATAATCCTTTCTTCTTCTTCACGTGAGAAAAGAAAGAGGCTTTACTGAACACTGCAAAAGTTTTCATTACCCAGTCTGTGGTAAAAGGTGCTCCATTTGCCATCAAAATGCGAACTTCGTCATCTTGACCTGCTCGTGCAGCTTCTAAAAGTTTCTTTCCCAAATCTACTAGTGACATCTATCAAAGGACACAAAGGAATAGAAAGAAAACAACGTTAATGCTATTTTAAGTACACAAATGCCACTGTCATTTTTTTAATTATTATTTCTGAACTACTCTGAAAAGTTCAAAACCAGGAGTTGGTATTTCAGCCATGAGAACAAGCTTTATTGATTGCAATAAGCAGTTTGATTTTATAATTACTTTTGTCAACCAAATGGAACTGGCACTGGGGTAAAGACTGCAGTATTACAATGCTTTAACCATAGCAGCTGCGAAGTTATAGCAAACTAAATTTAAACTAAATGGATGAACATTGCTTATAGCAGAAAGTGGTTTAGAAGCTCTCACCTGATACTGCAACTTGCTGCAGCTTTGTCCAGCTTTCAAATGGTACTACATCATGGCTGCTATGTCACACACCCAAAGGCGCTACATTCATTTCTCCAAAATGCCTACATGTATTTAAGAGTTACCGCTATATAAATACATTTAGGTAGATCTGAAACACAGCACCTTTCTGACATTTTGTCCATCACTATCACTTCACTTTGTTCACCCTAAAATATAATTTCTGTATTCCTAGCTACAAAACACATGTGTAATTGTACAATTTGCATCAGATATATGAACTAAAATGTCTATCTGAAAGCAAATACTATTACCTGCTTCAACTGTCTACAGTTACTAAAAACATGTTAAGTGCAAAATTTTGATTGAGACATGACTGAGATACTAGCTGAAAAACTTTCACATCATCTTTAGGTAATTTCCCTTTTACAGCACTCAAAGTTGCATATAACACAGAGCATGCAAAACTATATGTAGACAAATGGGACCTATCTATGTTTTTGTTGTGTCAAAAATTCCTAGTATAACAGCTTTTTAAACCCACTCTATTTCATACTTGCCACTAAATTTTTTTCAGTAAAAATAAAATTTAGAACTAAACCACAACTCATGCCATTAACCAAAATACTTTATTAATGTTTTAGTCCTACACCTATGTCTTCCACTACCAGGATGCTAAGGATGGAACTACTTTCATCAGTTTAGTTTCCAGTCACAAGCAAAAGTTAAGCCTGTATTACTAATAACAGCAGTTGCAAGGCCATGCAGCCTATTTCCCACACAAAGCCAGAGTATATCAGTTCAAAAAGGAATCCCAATAGGATCATTTTTTAATACCTTTTCTTAAACATACACTTCTATCCTAAAACCAACATATTTAGAAAGTTCTCTGCACCTGGCTCAACTGGCAAAATCTGTGTAGTATATTGCTCAATAAGCTGAAAGCTATTGACTTTGGAAGAAATTATGAAGACAGAAATACTGCAAACGCAGAACTCCAACATGTATCAGTGGAGCCATGAACTGGAGCGATTACCTCTTGGTCTACAGAGCTGACTGCAGGCAGCAATATCCCCTTCACCAAGATAATATTCCATTTATGCCCATCCTTCTAGTACACATGGACATGTTGATTTGTCTCCAGCCAGAAAAGGGAAGAGGAGCAGGAAGGTGGCAGGATAGGACAAATACTGACAATGGGAAAAGGAAGGAAAAAGGAGCACAGAGTCAGATGCGGAGGAAGGGACAACAGCTGACTCTCTTCCATAAAGAGCAAAAAACCAAACAGGAATAAGAAAATCTACTATCCCTGTTAAAGGGAGACACTAGGATTAATGATATAAAACAGTACTCAGAGAGGGCATTTGGCAAGTGCAGCAGTGAAATGAAGGAATATAGTACTCCCTTTACATGGCACCTTTTTTCTTTTTCCTTTTTTTTTTTTTTCTTTTTTGAGGTGGGGGGCAGGGCTGCAATGTAAGAAGGAAAAAAGCACACAGACACATTTTTTTCTAGTGGTTTAATACCACCACATCAAGGTCCTCAGAAGCAAAAGGAAAGCTGGAACTTCATGCAAAATACTAAAGTTAGGAACTAATCTAGAAAGACAACAATTCATTTTCCTTGTATTTACTTTTGTTTTAAACACCAGTAGAGAAAAGGAACTAATAAAGACTCATTTTGAAATTGCAAAATAACTGAGGCTGGAGAGGACCTCTCAAGGTCACCTAGGTCACCAGTCAGAGCTGGCCCAACAGGCTCAGGCTGTGCAGGGCTCGGTCCTGTGGAGTTTTGAATGTCTCTACGGATAAACATCCCACCATTTCTTCAGCCCCGTTATGGTATCCAACCACCCTCATGGCAAGAGCTGCATTCTGTGTATACCTGTCTTTCTCCATTAACCAAAAAAGACAGCCCTGATAACAAGCTTATACTTGATGTCTGTTAGACAAGAAAAATAGGTGAATGAAATTACATTATGTACATTTAGCAACTACACCTATTCAGAACCCACTGATCACATCTATACTAGTGAAATGAACTGCAAAGTTGTTACCAAAACCCCACATAGCAAGATCAAGCAGCAAAAAAACTCAATTATGGTGGCCTGCAAAATACAAGTCTCAGTCCCAGGAGGTTTTAGGGACAAACTTCAGGTTGAGATTGACACCTTTTCAGAGTCTCTCTGAATCACTACTGTTGAACATGCTGTCAGAGTGACAGTACATCAGTTCTCATCTCAATGCGAAACTAAACAACATTGTACTGCAGTCAATAAAAAATGTTTTGATCAAGGAAATAGAGGGACATGGAAGATCATGCATAACTTAACCTTCGTTACCACATATTACTTACACTAACCAACACTCTCTTGCTTGATATAAAGTGTTTGTATTTTAAACAAGCACAAAGCATCACAGAAGTTTACATATGTTTCATGATGTAGAATTTTAACCTCAGTTAAAATGACATGAATTTATTTTAGAAATGAAGTAAAAGTTTCAGTTTTCATAGGGTACTTGAAAGCATGCTCAGGCCATCTAGTGGAAGAAAGTTAAAAACCTAGCAAAATTACTATTGAATTCAAAAATAAAAATCACATTATATGTCACTAATGCACTAACAACAGCAATTGAAGAGGCCTTTCCAACAAAGCTTGTGTACATTTAGTCATGTTTTACCCATGAATACTAACATTCACAAAATTTCTCATGAGTAGTCAACCCAAAGCTGATTTCTACTTGGCAGACTATTCCAAGGACCAGTACTGTAAGGTCAGGAAACCCTGGAGTAATAACATGCCCCACACTTCCCCGCCATACGCTTCCACTGCTAGTACTGAGACATACTGAGAAGGGTCTGCAGTGTCAAAATTTTTTTCTTCCCTTTCCAGAAAAATTCTTCAGCTGCTCTCTCGAGATCAATTAGTAACACCACAATAACACAGTGATACTATCAAACTTCTATATATAGTACAATAAAATAGATTTAAAATTGAAATGAGATTTCCCTTTCAAAGCAGCACTCTTAGTTAAGTACCACTGCTACTCCATGTAGTGTTAACAAATCAACTCTGCTGAACTGCATTAGAGGGTACTCTTCGGTAACTGTGTCATTTCCATCAAGCTTGGCTAGCACGACAGCTGGGTAGTGCCTTATAACAGGATTCTTTCAGACAATAAAAACATCACTGGCTCTGAAAAAGTCTTGAGACTATTACAGTTATTCTTATAGCAATCTGAGTATGTTTCCAGACTTCTAACAGCTCCTACACATCTGTGTGAACAGAGGGTTTTGTCTACAGTTGAGTAAATAGGGAAGAGATTCTGCTGGGTTTGGACTTCTTTGCATTAACCACCTCCTGAACTTCCACATTTCATTACTGCAATGCATTCTGTACAGTATCATTAGCCAGAAGCCACAATGAACTGGTAATTACAATTTACGTCAAGTTATTATTGCTATTTTACTTCTGTTCAATAGGAAATCATACTGGTTTTTTGTACCCATCTTAGATTTGGTTTTATACATTCTGGAAAACTCTGGACATTGTGCTGTTACCAGAGGGGTATATAACAGCACTTGACAAGAGTTTGGTTGGAACTGTGTGTGAAATGAGCTGTGTGGGGAGGGAGAGGAGCTGAAAAACATGCAGCTTGGGGAGCCTACACCACAGCCAATGGAGCAGCAGTCTGTAGTCCAAAGATGATTAAGTTTAGCTTAAAATATTGCAGCACCTGTCAGACTGGTGTCCTGCCCCAAGGATCTTGGACCCAGCCTTTATTCCCCTTCTATCACTGCAGCAATGAACACTGGCAGTCAAAATCAACAGGCAAAAACAGTTGTTGCAGAACACCTGCTAACATGGAGATCTTGCAGTCACCGGTGTACTTCTACCAAGGCATGCTCCTAAAAGAGACATACTTTACACTAGAAGAGCATTGACTGCACCAGTGCAATTTACTAGAAGGTAAACTGAATCAATATATACCATATCTATGATAAGGATTTGCAATAATTCCTAAAAACCCCAGGAAAAAGTTCCATTAAATGCTAATTAAACAGGTTTCCCTACTGAAGTGACACACAGCAGAATTGTACTTGGAAGACAGCTTGAGACTCATCATCTTGCACACTCATTACATCTGCAAAAAGAATGACCTTTTCTGAATGTCTTTTCCTTTCCACTATTTACAAACAAATAAAAAAACCACAACCTGCTTCCCCAGACCTGTTCTTCAGAAATGCTATCATCTTACCGATTTCAACATTGCACAGTATCACTAGAAATTTAGAATAGCGATTTCTAACTAATTTTATATGCCTATCCATACCAAGGTCAAAAATATTTAAGTACAGAATATAAATAGTTAGTAACAACTATTTCAATCTTTAATCAAGCACTTCGTTTTGATCATTGTTAGAATTTAAATAATAAGATCAACTTCCTTTATTTTTTATGTTTTTACATCCTGATATAACAGCACAATACTTGAACTCAGAACAACTCTTCCAAATGTTTTTCATTTCCATTACTGGTTTGTAACTTTCAAAGGAACGGGAAGGTCTGCATTAAACTCGGTGGTATTTCCATGCACTAGCATCTCTTAAAAACTTTGGAATGATTTTACATTATATATAATTTTTATAGTGATTATAGTGACTTAC